ACACACACAAGGGTCTCCACTAATAGGAAAGCCTAAACGTGTGTTAGGTATATCAGTTACGTATATCAGAAGTTGTGGAACGTGTGGTAAATTACACACAAAATTGAAGATTATTAGAATGATAATATCTTGCGGGACATTTCCATAACTTCTTGACAGAGAATTCTTGAGGGACTTCACTTTTGACGGCTCTGGGTCAAGTGAAAATGGTCACTCAGCTTTTAAAATGTTTTACCTTGGATCCAGCATGTAAGGTCATCACAGCAGTGGCTATGAAGAGTTGTATCCTCTAGGATGTGACGTCATATAAACCAGTGAAAATAATCTGATGTTCGGAGGAAATCATATCGCTTCCATATACAGGGCTGAAGAGTAAGTCAAGCATGAAGCAAGCAGCAAGCAGAGCTGGGTCCTGTTGCATCATGGCGGGAAGAAGAACACAGGCAGCAGGAAACAAACTACGAGTAGTGAAACCGTCCATGCACGTGTGGCATTCTTCCCACAGCTCCACGAGGACAGAGGTCACTGTCACTCGATTTCGGATCCGACACACCCGACACACGCGTGGCAATTGTTAAGAGATGACCCAACACCTGCTTGTGACCAGTGCGGAGTCCGCTTGAGATTTGACACATCCTGCAGGAATGTCCACTTCATAACAGAGATCGTCAACGTGGCCGAGAACTTTAAAACAAACTCCCTCCTTACCCCCCAGCCCAAATACACATAACCCAAAGGAGGAATCTGTTTATAACGAAATTCTCTTTTTCAAAGTACAGGTCTTAAGTAATTTGTTCGAGAGGAAGAGAGACAAAAAACATTTCATATGGCACGCAAAATAATTAATTGATGTTTAACAGGAACAATTTTCAGACAATCAGGATTTTAGTTCTGTCTCATAATGAAGGTAATACGGTCATTTAGCTAAATGTCTGGGTTATTTTCGGTAGCAAAATTAGGCACAGGCCTACAGACTTGAAATAATCCCGCCAACAGTAAAAATATACAAGAATATTTACTGGTCAATTAACTTATTGGGCAATATTTACTATACTTATCAAGATAAATATATACAAACCTGTGATATATTCTCTTAGGCTACTTCAGAAACTTATCAGAATACAGCGATACAGGCCTACATAGTAGTTGCTTACTTACTTACGGAGCTGAGCCCTTCTTGAGAAGCTGCCAACTGTGCAGCCACTCAAGAATTTCCCAGCATTTTATGGAACCCGAAGGTTCATTACCGTGTTCACAAGAGCCCTCCACCGGTCCCTATCCTGAGCCAGATCAATCCAATCCATACCATCCCATTCTATCTCTCTAAAATCCATTTTAACATTGTCCACCCACCTACGCCTTGGTCTTCTCAGTGGTCTCTTTCCTTCTGGCTACATAGTAGTTGTTAGAGTAAATAATTTCAAAAACCAAGAATAACCCATTCGTAATATACTATACGCAATCATTTGGACTTAAACATTTTCCCTCTCAAGATATTCTGCAGAAGTTTGCTACTACAGAGCATGATATAATATTTTTAGAGCTGTGACATGACAATAACTGACAGTCGTTAAGGAGGTTACATTCTTCTGTCTCAATTACAGGTTTCTCATTATCAGACACGTGCTGCAATGTTAAACATGTCACATACCCGAAATTTTGAATTTAAATAAAGAAATAAGATTGTCCATACGCTGATGTATTGATTCATGGAGTGAGTAGGAGAGGGCACAGCAATCAAAGTCAAGCTCGTCACGTGGGTAGCTCAAATGACTTGTACATCTCAAGCAAACTGAGCCGCGCCTGACAGCCGAGTCCCGTATTACTTTCCATTTCCTTGCATAATTCATACTATTGCATTTTGCTGACTTAGCATAAGCTCTCTGCTAGGATCAGTTACTGAGCAAGCAGCAAGAGGACTTAACAATCTTCGGCGCATCTGCGTCTCTCTTCCACATTAAAACCATTTACCCCTTACGTCTCTCGAATAAAGGGCACATCCCTCGCATAATGTCCAAGTTTTCTGAACACAAGCTATTCAGTTCGGGTGCGTTAGTGCACGACGTGGTATCAAGTTATGAGAAGAAGGCTTTAGCGACTGACTACGGGCTAGACGACCGAGGGATCGGTGTTCTAGTCCCAGTAGGGTCAAGAATTTTCTTTTCTCCACGTAGTCCTGACCGGCTCTGGGGCCCGCCCAGCCACCTATCCAATGGGTACCGGGGGCTCATTCCCAGGGGTTAAAGCTGGAGGGGCGTGAAGCTGACCGCTCACCTCCAACTTGTGCCGAGGTCAAAAAAATGTGTATCCATACATCCACTCTCCGGTCTATAAAACCGATTAACGGCCGTGGGAATTCGTTGCGCTGACCACGTGACCCTCTATCCGCAAAAGTTGGCACTGACTTCGTCGGTGAAGTTAATGCCAACTTTAGCGGATAGAGGGCGCCGCGGAGTCAGCGCAACGAATCCCCACGGCCGTTAATCTCGGTTATCTAGACCGGAGCCGCTATTTCCTTGAAATAGCTCCTCAGTTATCCTCACGAGGCTGAGTGGACCCAGTTCCAGACCCACTACTTCTCAGCAAATCTGGTAGCGCCGGGAATTGAACCCGGGATCTCAAGATCTGTAAACAGGAACTCTGACCACTAGACCACACAGGCGGTCTCAAAGGACATATTAGCTGTTTTTATTTAAAATGCTTGATAATCATTAATATTGCTTTTGTTCTGTTCTATTCAGTTTCACTTTTGTTGTGAAAGTTAAACGGGGGGAAAAATTGATCCTAATCGGAAGAAAAGACGGACATCATGTGACAGGTCAGGGAGAATTTCGTCATGGCAAATCTCATTTGTTTTGAATGAAACAAAATAAAGCGAGCAAGTCGGCCAGTGCCTTGCTGTCACGGGAAAGCTCAGAGGATAGCGACAGTGTTTCACTGCCATACTCACTGATGTCATTTTCATTCATTGCAGAGCTGTTGTTCCATAAGGGCGTAATATGTTTGGACGCAGACACTCCTGGGATCCATTTGTCCAGAATTAGATTTTCAGAGAACAATGGAAACTTACGTATATACATGGGTTCCATTTCTCCAAAAATTAACGTTTCCGAAACAGTGGTTTATTCACGAAAGTATACATAAAGCAGGCTTTCTCTATAAACTTTTATAACTTTCGTTTCAGATGAATTATAGTATACCAGTTAACTCAACTATACAAATGTCAGAGAGGCCAATCAAGATGTCTAGATAACCTTACGTATAACAGAAAAATAAGCAGAGGCGATTACATTCCACGTTCAGTGATATACAAGTATAAAATCAGATGGTAAAGGTGATTGCCAATAAGTGATTTTGGTGGGCATAAAGAACTTAAATTTTTGTACTTTAAATGTGTAATTCATTCCAACCGACCGACCGAACTAGACCCAAACCAACCAACTAAACAAACAAACAAACAAACAAATCAACTGACTGACAAGCCTAACTAACTAACTAAATAACTGACTAACCAAATACCTACCTATTTACCTACCTAACTAACTAACTAACTCCATGGAGCTTAGCCCTTCTTAAGAAGCCATCAATGGAATAAATATGTACATTAAACTGAACTAAGCTGCTCAAGAACTCCTAAAACTTTATGGAACCCGAAGGTTCATTGCCGTGTTCATAAGAGCTCTCCACTGGTCTGTATCCTGATCCAGATGAATCCATTCCTTATCACACTATCCTATTTATCCATTTTAGCTCAAGTATTTATTTTGAAAAGCAAAAGGAGGCATATGAAATTGCTTTGCTGTCCATGTGTCTGTGTCCCTCACTTAACGCCTGAAAGCCGCAATAGTGGAGTCAGAAGAGACGACCGTTGCTAGGAAAAGATTCGGTAAACGTGCTCCCGCGACAACGGTTACAAAATAATAAATAAAATCGTTGTATTTCGTGATTTCTATGCCATCCGTTTCGTATCAAATATTAAATATACTGTGAAGAAAAGTAGGGAGTTAATTCTTCATAGAACTTTTATATTATCCTCCGACCTATGTCTATTTCTTCCTAGTGACCTCTTTTCTTCTGCCTTTCCCATAGAAATTGTACATGCATTCTTCTTTTCTTCTTATTCGTGCTACATGCCCTGTTCATCTCATCCTCCTCGACCCAACATGTTTTCCATTCCCATTTTCAACTCCGACTCTCAGATTTTACCCTGTTTAGAACGGATTTTAATAGATTTTAACAAACATTTTCGTCGTTTTCACTATTATAAATTGGCTATAAACTTGTTCGCATATCATGTGAAACATGCAAAATAGTAAAGTTGTCCCTGTGTTTAACTAATTAAGCACTACATCATGAAGAAGATGTATGGGGGAATTGGAGTTGAGTGGTCAGCTTCATATCCCACCTACTTTACTCATAGGGAATTAGTCCCCTTTTGCTCATTGGCTAAGAGGCTGGATGGGCCTCAGAACTGATCTGGGCGAGATGAGTAAGTAAAAATTCTTGACCCTTGTCCGTCCAGCCAGTAGCCAATCGCTATACCAACTGCGCTATCCCACCTCTTATGAGAGAACATGTAGATATGTATTCTGCATCAATCTGTTCTAATTTGCTACCCGCTTTCTCTTTGGTTTCTAGCTCACCTTATTCTTTGACTCTGAAAACAGAAGTGAAATGTTCCACCGAAACGTGTGTTAACTTTCAAAGGACTACACTGCGTTATATCCCAGAAGATAGGATTCTTCATAACCACTGTCTTCAGAACCTCAAATTATACGTGTATGAGAATAATTGAGAAATGGTTTTGTGGAAGGCTAGGATATTAAAGGATAGAACCGAGGATGCAGAGAAAGGAGAAAGGACTGATTTTACGGATAGAAGTTACGCGAAAACAAGGAAGATTACGTATAATTCTGCTGTCGATCACTTTACAATGAGAAACATCGAAGGTGAACCAATAATGTAGACATAAAGAAGGTAAACAAATGCGAGTTACTTACAATTCCTGAGACTGTGATCTCGCCGTTGGTGGACAGAGGCAGTAGATCCGTTAGGATGCATCCTTCCAGCGCCAACATGAGCTCAGCGGACGTACATGGAACTGTTCCCTCCTCCAACAGCCACCATTCCTCGGCGTACGTTCCCATAATGATCCATTGGTACTTACGTCCAAACATCCCTGCCCTGTGAAGTAACAATGTTTCTAGTCACTTCATCCATCTCTCAGATGCTGATAATTATAAATTTGTTAATATCTGTGATCTCATTACATCAAAACTACCAAATTTCGCTGTCGAGATATGAGCAGTTCTGCATAGAATTTTGAAGGTTCCAGGTTTCATTATCGGGTCCTGATACAGATTAATCTGACTGAACATTTTCATAGCTTTCTTCCTCTTCTCAAGGAAAATTCTGAAACATGAACGGCCCTGGAGATTCGTTGCGCAGAACACGCGACACTTTCTATCCACTTAAATTTGTACTAACTTCGCTGACAAGCGGCGGTTACTCGGTCGATATAGTTCCCTTGCGGACTGAAAAAACGGAGTTTGTTTTTGAACAAATAATACGCCAAGAGCTTTTCTTTCCGTATCGTTCTCAGTTCTTTACTCATAATCACCCACTATGAAACTACAATAAACTAAGAAATAAACTACACATCAATATTGAATGTTAATAATAAAAGGTAAATTTGCCCCTGCACTTAACTAATTAAGCACTACTTCATGAAGGTATATTGGAGTGGATGTATAGATCCACATTCTCTTGATCTCGGCACTATTTGGAGGTGAATGATCAGCTTCACGCACCGACCGCTTTACCCCCGGGGAAAGAGCCATTGTATAGGAGATTGGGTAGACTCCAGAGCCGGTCTGGAAGACGTGGAGGAGAGGAAATTCTTGACTCTACTGGGACTTGAACGCCGAACCCTCGGTCGTCCATCCCGTAGCTAGTCGCTTACCGACTACGCTAAATATTAATGAAAATTGTATACTGTATGCTGGGGAAACAAAGTAAACTTGCTTCTTAGTACAGACTGGAATAGGACCGGAGGAGGAGGAAGACGTAATGAGCAAGAAGTGACAACACACAGCCAGCGATGTACGGTCAGACATGTACAATTAAAAATACTCGTACTAACGCTAAATCTGTTTATATCACGTAACCATAGAAATTAGCATAAGTCAAGTCATAATAATTCATCAGTAAGTCATCAACGAAAATTATTTGTTCCGGTCACACTTTTTCTCATTTTTGTAAAATGGAATCATGTTTACGTTTCACGAATACCTATGCCTTGCAAAATTGGAATTCCTTAAATGAAATATCACTATTTTTGTATATCAGCAGCTTTCTAACTCGATCAGCCGTGAAGTTTTTATCGATGTTACGAATTTGACAAAATTATACCGCGATGGGGAGGTTCCCAGTAGCGCCGATTCTCACTATTTCATAAAAACTGATCAGTTTATATCTATAATAATTACGTTCATAGCTGACTATAGACAGGGACAAACCGACAACCATATACGTCTCGTTAACCAGCTTCCGAAGAACCAGCTCTCATTTTATAGACTGCATAGAAATTCAAGAGTGGCCAAAAAGAGACGTGTGTAAGATTGGGGTACGTAAGTTTCGTTTTTTTTTTTTTTGGTTAGATGTCCAGAAATATACTAATATATTTCCACATGGACGTCTCATAGCATTTTACATATGTTTGATTTCAATCACGAATTAAACTAAGTTTAAGCCTGGCAGTATTTTTAATTATGCTGCCAAATACGTGTAGTATTTCGACCTAAGGGCGCAAACTTCTTTTCTGAAAGTTCAAAAATCTGAAGGAGCTATTAACATGCCGCCTCACAGCTGCATGTGTTACGAATTGTAAGGGGGACGGGGGCTCTCACGAAGAGACAGTCAGATGAACTCCTTTTAACAAAATGCAGAAGGTAACAATACAGTAATATCGCAAGTTGATATTTTGTTTTTGAGATAAATAAAAGACTGCCATTAAAATAGACAGAACAAAGCATATGCTAAGAGAGAGAGAGAGAGAGAGAAGGGAAAAATGAAGAGGGAACATAATACGCCTTGATTCTTAGGGACGTTGATAAGGATACAGTAACTTCGTGTTTCGGCTTGAATAAAGAAACCATAATGCGAGTATATATATATTTGGATGGAGGAAGTCACAGTAACGCACAAATAATAAAAATGAATTTTACGATGGCAATGACAAGAACAACTACTTCTAGAGACAGAAGAATACCTGTGCGCCTCACAGAAGACCCTACGGGCCCAGGACTCGTTGAAGTTGCCCAGAATTATTCTGACATCTTTTTCTTTGAGCTTGGTCATGGCAGAAGTTACCTCATTGGCAAAACTTTGGGTTTCTAGAATCTGGAAACCTGATGTATCAAGGTCAGCCACGAGGCGGTTATGCGCCTGAAACACAAAGCAGGCAGTATTAGAACACTGGCAATAAAGTTTAACACTTTGCTATTTCTTCTATAAATTCTTAATCGCCGGATTCAATGTCAATTTGAGTTCTGATCATGATCTTATTTCTTCAGTATGCATACAAATTTAAGCTAGAAATAAAGTGAATTTTTAAGAGTTATATCTTCTGGGACATAAGGTCTTGTAACTCTGATGTTATTTTCTTCTTGGCTTATTCTTCCAGCCTGAAGATGAACACGGTATGTTCTTCCGAAACGTTGGTTAAATTGTAACGGACTATACAATGTTATATCCCAGAAGATAGATCTCTTCATAACCACCGTTGTGAGAACTTAAGATCCCATTATTGATTATTATTCCACTAATTGAAATCATGCGCGTCTCTGAAAATGAGAACTAATCACTGCTTTGAAATCTGTTCCTCACCGTTTTCGTTTTCATGAACATTTCTCAGCAACCGGTCACATAGGTACAAAGTTGTACGTTCCACATATGACCTATCACATTTATGGCCACACTTATTTTGTTCCACTACTTGCGGACATTACAAAATTTATAAAACTTAGTTTTTCAAGCAGTCGTAATAAATTCTGGAAATCAAAGACCTCACCGATAGATATATATAAACTTATAGACATATCATGTAATTTCTATGAACTTAATAGGTCCGATTTTTCTAGAGTTCAAAATACGGATGTTTACCACCGGTTTTTGCTACAAACTGCAGTGATTATAAAGGCACAGATCCCGATGAGGTAGATATTTTCAACTGACCTAATCCTTTCAGCCGCGCTATGGCCTTGCGATCGGTTCAGCCTCTAACAGAAATGAGTACCAGGAATATTCCTGGGGGTAAAGGTCTGCCGGCGCTTAAGTCTGACAATCTCACCGCCATCTGTGAGCCGATTCTTTATAAAATGTGAGAACCTCGACGTCTGTTACAGGGATAACTTTTACCTATAACTGTACCATAGGACGAGAAATGAAATGATGATGGAATTGCAGAGCACTGTATATGCGGTAAGGCAACCTTGTCCCACTTTCAGGTACTATCGAAGTATTTGTCTGAAGAGACTGTGTGGATGATTTTAAGCTTTCAATGTTTTATGCATAATTCAAATCACAAGTTGAAGAAAGCTGACTTGTGTCGGTATGAACCAGCCGCCACTGCTCGAGGGTTCCCGAATACCAGAAGCAGGGTACTTCCACTACTGCTCTTCATTACAAGTTCGCCCCCATCCCCTATACTGTCGACATTCTTGCCTAACGGATGCTTGATCTTCTGAAGTTATGCAAACACACGATTTGTCAGAGGAAAAACGGACCATCCTCGTACTGATGAATCCGTTGAATTTGGTGGACTAGCGTCAGTGAGAACTGTTTAAAAGTGTACGGGGAGTGCTTTTACGACGTTTAAACTGATTTAATTAGATTTAATTTCTGTGTTTCATCTCAGCTTCTCAAGCGCTATCTATGAAGAGTAATATCCTGGAAGAGAGAATTCTTTACAGGCACCTCTGTGGGAACCACAAATCCAACTTACTATCCTCTTTTCCTTTGGCGCTACAGCCCCAATTTGGGCCTTGTCCTACCTCCACGAAACCCTGCTCTTCACTTTGGTTTACTAGATCTTAGAATTCGTAGGACACCTTGGGCGGGTGATCAGCTCGTCGCAAGGCCTCTACCTGAACATAAAAACAGAAAATCTCGCACACACACACACACATATACACACACAAAATATCCATGCCTTGAGTGGGATTCGAACCCACGATCCCGGCTTCCGAGCGGGCGAAGACAATGCATAGTGCATGTCTTACACCGCTCGGCTACCGTGACCGGCTTCAACTTACTCTATTATATTGGAATCAATTTTCGTTTTCGGAAGTAGCAAATTGGGAAACTCGTACGAGACAGTCCAACTGCAGGGAGTGGCTACCCTCCCTTAAGGGATCTCCATGTCCTACTGCCCCGGTGGGTAGCACCTGGTAAGGGCCCCTTCCCAGGGATACTTAGCGGCTAAGTAGGACTCTAGCCATGGTAGACAACAGGCCTAAGGGAAGGAAACAGTGGATAAATATCCCTAGTGTTCTGCAACAGGCTGGTAACCTGCTAAAATAATAAAGCTTTACTCCTAATCCTAAGAGACTGAATTGCCCGAATCGATGGTTTCAGTTTTGAGCACAGAACGGGCTAAGAAGCTCAGACTCTGTAGATGATGATGATGATGATGATGATGATGATGATGATGATGATGATGATGATTTATCGCTTACGTACCAACCAGCGAACTTGTTCTGAGCTCTGCTGTCACTAAAACTTAAATTCGGTGTATGACATCTGTTGCTCTAGCAGCGGTGAGTATGAATATTACGGACCGCTGAAGTGTGATAGAGTACAGTTTGGTTAAAGAAACACATCGCACAAATCCCAGAAGACCGTAATATTTAAATTGTATGCACTTGCATGAAGCGATTATATTTGTGGTTCAGTAAATAAAAACTAATGTATTCTCTAGCCAAAAACATATTTCATATTTGACTGTCGCCTATATCCCACACCCTATCCTACTATTCCAGGCAAAGTGTCAGTACCTAACCCCGATCCGCACAGTTTGTGGCGAACAGTATGTCAAATTTGAAGCGAGAACTCAAACCCTCAAAATTTCCAAGCCAACCTAATACACCTACACTGTTGGCTACTCTAGAACTCAGAATCCATAGGAGAAGCGTGAGCGAATGACCTTTTTGCTTTCATTTTATTTTATCTGGTTTATTCGATTGTTGGTGTCATTAGACACGTAACTCGGCTTTATGTAGATTTGTATGTTGTACGCTTTCGTTTTTATACTTAAGCTTATAGGATTAATTCAGCTTAGAGAGCGAGCCAAGGACAGTCAGCAATTCGGCAGGACTGTATTTCCTCTAATCCGGTGTAATACTTTATGTGTAATGAATTTCTACTTTAACATATGACGAAACGTAATTTTCACTTATTATCCATACAAGCGAACCTACAATTATAATTCTCTCTGCCCTGTGAATGCTGACGCGAAAGCTATACGAGTTCAGAACATTCTTTATATATTTTCTACCTGATTTATTTGATTTTGATTTCATTAAGTACTTATTCGACTTCATGTAGATTTCTGTGTTTTATGTTTTCTCTGTTTTGTTTCAGCTTATAGGATCAACTCGGACCCGGAAAGCAAGAGGCACAGAGAGGCAGAGCCAGTTGGCAGTTCGGTGGGACTGGACTTCCCCTGCTCCTGGTTTTGTGTGTGGTTTGTATTTAGTTCTGTTAAACGTATGAGGACAGGGAATGTAATTTTCTCTTTCTTGTAAGAGTGGCTTTTACATCAGAGCTTTACACATCTTGAGTTTTTGGAGGACTTTCATGGTGTTATGTGTTAATATTGCATTTGACTTATATTGCATTATCCAATCCACAGTTCAAAGTTAATAATGTACGAGGTTTTATTCCTTTTTCCTATTTTTCCCAATTACTCACCACATGCTAGGACCGGGTTTCTTTCTTTTGTCTCCCTTCCTTGGGTCTCATGACCATCCCCTCTCTATCATCCCTATATAGCCAAACTCTTCCTGAATCTAACCTTGAAGAATGATGCAGCATATTCATATGAAACTTCATATCCCCTTCAAAAAGAACGGGGTTTCTCAATTCAGCAGACTACAGCCATAAAAACCTACAAAATTATGAGGTTTACAAAACCAGCAACCGTGTTACAGATTTGTGGCTTGATGCAGGCGGACGCTGAGAGATTGTGCGAGAAATTATCAATTACAGATCTCCGATTTTTCTTTTCTTCTGCGAAAGACAAGGGCTGGCTCTCAGAGACTTGTGATATTGAGTGTTAGTACTAATTATCCTCCCATGGGTGTGAATTTAAACCTTGTCTTATAACATTCGGATACATAGTGATATTTGTTTTAATAATGATTGAACACAGTAATTTTATCGCATCGAAAACAACATACTGAAGAACACTTCATAACATGCTTCTTAGCTACAAGTAATTTTATGCATACAACTTACAAATCTTGTCTACATGCCACTCATTACATTTTATGCAATGGTTTCAGCTGCTTGTGAAATACAAGTATGTTATAATATAGAAAGCTAATAACTGACTCTATTTATCTAGTGGATAAATGATAATTTTGATGATTACAAAAATTCAATTCAGTTCTTTAATTTTACATGGACTTACTCAACAACCAAGAGCTAATTATAAAATAAGCATGAACATAGACGGAAACAAACACACACGAACACAGAAGAAGGCAACTTGCGTCGTGTAAACAACAAAGGTCCAGTAAGCAAAGTCGCGCCAGCCATTAAGCTGGGAGAAAAATCATATACATTTATTCTGAGTGCAATTAATATTTTATTAATAAGAAACCCATATTATAAAATATTAAATATTAAGAAAAATAATTTCTGTTCCATATACGTCGTCTGTGGGAACAACATTAGCAGATGTAATGCATTTAGCACAGGAACAATTTTTACATGAGAAAAATAAAGGTCTCTTTAGTTACGATAAATATATGCTTTTTTATTACTCGTATTTTGAAAGAAGAATTAAACCAGTACATTATTATACTCTACAAAACCCTAACGCTTTAATAGAGAAGTTACTGTATAGCTATCCATATGTATATACAGCACTTGCAATAAATAAAAAAAAGGCAAAAAAGGGATTCACATTTCACCCTGCATTACCTGATAAATATTCGATCACAATACTTTGTCTCAAGGAGCGATTCAGGGACTGAAAGATATGGCTTCTTGTGACTGTGATTACAGCGAAATGTCAATACTTGATTTATCGTGCACTCAGTGGCATCAAAACCATAAAATAAATGAGCACACCGTTCCTTCTAGCATTAGGCTTGTATATATAACATCGCCCAGGGAGGGTTTCGAAAGGAAGCAAGCTTATATCGTAACTTCATTTCCAT